TCAGCTAGAGGAACAGGGTCTCACTGTCTACATGCCAGCCTTAAAAGGTCATCGCAAACAATTGCCCACGGATGAGGCCAACGCTTCTCGATTCGTGACGAAAATTCGATGGGCGGTAGAAGCTGTACACGGTATAATCAAAGAAAGATACAGACTCCTGGATCATCGAGTTGACAATGATCTGCTTCCGAAGATTGGAGTTCTAACAAGGATCGCTTGTTATTTGAACAACCGTTTCGGGAAGCGCCTCCAATCCGATCAGGGTATGTTCGATGAGGTTCTGGGACGCATGCAGCAGATGCTACAAGTCCCGAATTCATTGGGTCAAGAAGCTGAAGTAAATGGATGGAACAGAGTGAGGCGGCCATGGTCAACCATTACCTCTGACTCGATTTCTGATTCCCGATACTGACAGAGAAGGATCTCAAGATCCTATTCACTGGAACCTACCAGCTCTCCCAATCTGTGTCTTATCTGGCTGAACTGCTGAACGAGGACAACACGATCAACCTGAAGTTTCACCGGGACCAAACCAACATCCTCAAAGTAGAGGTCCGGTCGAGACATGTTGGGAGCAAGAGCTACAGGTGTTACATCGATTACGAGCCCGAAACGCTAGGTTATGCGGGAATCAAGCGACATTACTGCGAGTGCGCTAATGGCGCTCGGACAGTCGGTTGCTGCTCCCATGTAGCGTCCGTCGTGTACTATCTATCTTATGCGCGATATCTCTCCCGAATCGTCAGACCTGCGGAGATTCTTGAGTCGCTGTTCCGGGATGGAGCTACCGTTCCTGTTATCAACGAAGATAGTGACGAAGACTGATTTGGGATCTATGTCATGCTCCTAAGTATCATCGTAATCAAAAATAAAAATCCCCGCCGGTCAATTCGATTGAAGTGTAGTACCAAAGAGGGCGCGCAGCGTCTGCTCGATGCGCGGTAAGGTTCAAATGTGTCCCGCGAGATCCTGGGTCAGCGTCAGACCAGGGAATAGCGATTGGGAGCGGCAATGGGCGTTTACCGAAAAACCATAGAAATCAGTGGTAGGGAATGAAGTGTTCGCGAATGAACCTATTTGGACTATTCCGATTTCGATGAAACTTGGTGTGCGTGTACATGGGTTTACGGGGTTTATTTGTGACATAGTGTCATCCATGTTCACGAAGGTCTTCGGTGTCTGGGAGCTTGAAGAAAATTAAACTTCGGAAAAAAATGATGATGAAAAGTACTGAGGAAAATGGGACCGGGCTAGAATTGTGGCATTTTTCGCCAGCTTTCCAACGAGACCAAGCACGACCCTCTAGATCTTACCGTTTTCGAGAAAATCGTATTTTAAGATTTTTGAACTTTGACCTTTTTCTCGAAACTGGCCGCGTCGATTTCTGGGAGACTCGTGAAAAAGTCTTCTACTAACCGAGAGCTATCACCCTATCTAGTCAGTTTTCCAAAACAGATCGTAGCCGGGATCGCCACGTTATTCGGCTGTACCCTTTTTCTCGAAGAATATTCGCTCCTTTGAATTCTCGCTCGAGGCGTTCAGCAACGAAACGATGCCATTCTTCATCTCGTGTCGGATTTCGTCTCGACTCTCGTTGCTTCTGTGCGGCCTGGCCGCTCGATCGAATTCCATTTTCCTTTCTAGCTCTGAGTTGACGAGATGTAGCCACTGTGGCCCGTTGAACCATAAGTCGGCGATTGATGTTTTCGAAATGTTCGCGCCTCGAGATAGAATATCTGCTGGGTTCTCTTCTGAACGCACATAGTGCCATTCAGTGTCGCCCACGAGGTGTCGGATTTTCCTTATCCGATTCGCGACGTAAGGTTTCCATTTATCCGGGTTGGAGGACACCCATCCGAGGACCGCGGAGTTGTCGCAGAATAATTCTACCCCGTCGATTCTGAAGTCGACCCAATCGATTATTTCCTTGGTCATCCTGGCTGCCAGGAGAGCTCCTAAAAGCTCCAGCCGATGGATTGTTGATGGTTTGACTGGAGCGACTTTCGCTTTAGATAGCACGAATGAGATCATGGGTTTTTGATTGGAGTTTTCTTCTTTGAGATATGCTACGATGCCGTATGCGCGTAGGCTGGTGTCGCAGAAATGAACAGTCTTCTTCTGGTGTGTGCGTCGGCCGGCAGCATTTTACGGGGTAAGTTGAGACGCTCGGCCTGGCCGACTAAATCTCTGAAGATAGTGAAACGTTCGAGAGGGCTGCCCAGTAGCGGGTCGTCCCATCCCAATTTTAATTTCCAGAGATCCTGGAAGAGGATCTTCGAGTTGATGGTGATCGGGCTGATTATGTTCAGAGGGTCGAAAATTTGAGCTAGCGCTCTTAGCAGTTTCCGCTTGGACGGCGTTCTCTCGGAAAGCTCTCTGCAGGCTTTTGAAGTTGGGGCGCTGATGTGGTCCTTGACTTGATTCCATGCTATTCCAAGGACCTTCGTATTTGATTGACCGGTCGTGATTTCTGGATCCTTGATCGGAGAGATTTTCTTGATGAAATTTCCGATTTCCAGGGAGTTCGTTGACCATTTCTTCAGTGGGAAATGGCCCTCCGTGAAGATGTCTGATAGGAGCTTGATTCGATGTTTCACTTCATTAATCGTGGATCCTCCCGATATGATGTCGTCCATGTAGAAGTGATGCATGATTTCCTCGAGGAAGGGCGCGTCACCTGGGTAGTCCCTTATTGCTGACTCGAGGGGGAATCTGACTCCTTGACAATGTAGGAACGGTGAACAGATTAAACCGAAGTCCAGCCTGGCTGCGTAGATTTCCTGGATTCCGGCGGAACTGTTGTTGCTGATGCCCAAGGGCCAGAGAGTTCTTGGAAGTTCTTGTCGCTGTCGGCGATCCCGAGTTGGAGGAACGCTTTCTCGATGTCCGCCGTGAAGGCGTATTTGTACTGCCGGAACTTGAGTAGGACTGTCGTTATTTCACCACTCGTCGTTATTCTCCCGCTCTCAAAAGTATCTCCGACAGGCTCTCGTGACCCTAGAGCAGTACTCATCGGACAATGGGTTGACGGTCAACGTCAGCAAGACGAAAGTCATGAGATTCGGATCTGAAAGACGAGCCGCGAAGGGAGCACCGTTCAGGCTAAACGGTCAATTAGTCGAGGAGGTTCGAAATTTCTGTTACCTGGGCGTGGAGCTTTGTGGAACCGGGATAGCAACGCACAGACACATGAAAGAGAGAATAGGGAAAGCCCGCATGGCCTTCTCATCAATCCCAAAACCCTGGGAACTCTCATTACGGACGGCATTAGCGTTGTTCGAGATCAAACTCGTCCCGATCGCAACGTACGCGATCCAGCTTACGTGGGACAGACTCTCTCTGGCTCAATTGGAGGCTCTAGACAAACTTAAGGCGTCATATCTCAAGAGAGCACTCGGTGTCCATCGGACCACGAGGAACAGACTTACGTTTCTGTTGGCAGGAGCTACTCTGCTAACGGAGGACCTTGTGGCGAGATTCGGGCTAAGGAAAACGGAGGCCTTCTCCGAGAACTGCAGTAAGTGGGAGAGAAAATTCAGTGAAATTCACCCGGACTTCCTGACCACGCCGGCCATGAAGAGTGACTGGTGGAAGGGGGCGGCGTGCAAGCAGCGACATCGCCTGACCAGAGGAGCAGTTCACGGATTTCACCATCTTCTTTGCACGAAAGTCGGTTTTCATGAACCAGATGAACTTTGTGTATGTAAATACTGTGGTCTCATATGCAAGCAATATCATGTATACGATTGTGTTTCGAAAAGTGAACTTGATTGGTCAAAGACAGACTAATACAAGAAACATCCTAGCACCATAGCACAAATGACCTGAATAGCACGACTTACTTATCACACCCAATCACACCATATATTTGGTAATAAAACGCTTTAAATCGGTTATTTCACCACTCCGGTTTTCAGCCCCAGAGGGGAGTCGGGTTTTGCTTTGAAGACCACTTGTATGGGTAGGTAGTGGGACAGCTGGCCTGCCTTCTTTGGATGAGCTTTCTCTGCGAATCCTGCTTCTGAGTAGCCTTTGATTTCGTCGTCGACCGCCTTCAATTTGATTGGATCCTTCTTGAGGTTTTCTAAGAAGGAGTGAAGGCGTCACCTGGCCAGGTTCTGATTGTCACCTAGTGACCTGATGTTCGATTTGAAGGGTAGTTTGAGAACGTACCTTCCGTTTTCATCTCGGAAGGTCGTTTCTCTGAAATGGTCGATGAGCGCCTTATTCAGGTCATCTTCTTCCTCCCGGGATTCATCTTTGAGATCGTCTTCGAAACCGACGTCTTCCGATTGCCATAGGAATTGAAGATCTTTCAATGTTTGAGCCGTTTTTTTCGTGGGGTTTCTCCCTCGGTGAATCTGAATCTGGAATAATGAGCAGCTCGTTTTGATTAGCCGGTAGGATGGAGGCGGGTTGAATAATGTCGAACCCACAGAACCGAGCGAGTGGGGATTCGAAAGTTGATGCTCGCTGCGAGCCCCCGAACACGTAGCCGAAAATTGAATTGAAGGCGAATGTATCGTCGAATGATTGGGGGTCTGCGAAGTCGATCTTCGCGAAGTGATCTTAACCCAGTAGGACGTCCACCAACCCATCCCCGGTTTCCCGAAGACTGTCCGCCGCTGGAGCGAGTTTCGGGGTGTGTGCCATCACTGGGAACTCTGATCTCGAAACACAGTCGAGTTCGATGGCTCTGAGCCTTACGCTTCGGTTCTGTCGATGCCTGCTCCGGAGTGTAATTTCGTGAATCCCGCAATTGTATACATCGGTCACCTGTCCGCCCGCCGTAGCCATCGTGAGGTCCGTATGGGCGAAGGGCTTCGATCTCAGTTTTTCCACAAGATTCTTTGTGATATGTAGGGTGCGTCACTTCATGCACTAAAAACCCGGAAAAATGCATGCAGATATGCACTAAAAACGGGCAAAATATGCAGACAAAAATGGGGAAATATGCACTGGAGAAATCGATCATTGGGCATAGGAAGAGTCGTAATTCAGACGTTCAACAACAATGCATTGTGAATTTTATTCTGAAGGAGCTTAAATTATGGGTTGCAGAATATTACGAGGTGCATTTTCAGGTTTTCAAACGAGAAGCCCTGCCGGCGGTCGCTGAGAATGTACTTTAGACGGGAAAAACTTCGTTCGACGTCCACAGAAGTTATGGGAGCGAATTTCAAGGAGCAAATTTCTGAGGGCTCCAAACCATCTGGAACCCGTGCAGATGACCCTTCTCGTAGCACTTCCGCAACCGCCTCCAATTGACAGAGGCCTTCGTTTCGAGACACGACGAAATCGCATTTTTCGCTAATACGTTTCCCGATCGAGCCCGGCATTCCCTTGAGTCTTGTGATTGCACTGCCAAACAATTCGGTGCTTTCAACCAGCGGGATGCCCGAAGCCTCCAGTTTCTCGATGCTCTTGGGGAGACTGTCAAAGTGCGCCGCAATGAATGAGAGGTTTCCTCCCAGAGAGGACTTCTGGAGAAGCTCTTGCACTAACTGGATACTGCTTGCTTGAGTTCCATCCAGACTATTCACGACAGAGGTGAAAGCATTCAGGTTACGAGCGTAGTACAGCGCTGCTTCAAGCCACGTCCCCCATCGTGTCAGAACTGGTTGCGGCGGTAGGGGTACTCCAGGCGCAGTCTCCCGGAAGATGGTTACTCTTGCCGCTGACTTCAGGAAAAAAATTTTCCCATTCGCTATCAACTTGTCTACATCGGGAAACAAGACTCTTACTTCCTCGGCGACCCTGTGAAGCGCGTGCACCACGCAAGTCACGTGTATCATGCGTGGAAAGATGACCTTCAGTGCTTTGCCTGCTTTTGTCATGTAGGGTGCAGCGTCTGTCACGAAGAGGAGCACCCTTTCGTGTTTCACTCCGCCAGGCCACAATATGCTCAGGGCATTCATAAACGCCTGAGCAACGGTAGAACTGTTTGTCCTCTCCAAATCCTCCGCGTGCAGTAGGAAGCTCCTATTTTCCGTCGCTGTGAGAAGGCCGATTACTGTGTTAGCCACGTATCTGCCGGTGGCATCGGTGGTTTCATCTATAGAAACCCAAATAGGTTTATCGGATACACAGCGCCGAATGAATTCGAGCTTCTTCTCATATATATTCTTCAGGTAGTGCAAGCGGAGTGTCACGGACGATGGAACCTGCTGCCCACAGTACTTCTCGAGGAAGTAACTGAACTTCTCGCTGTCTAACTTGCGAAGCGGAATTCCAGCAGATACGAAAGCATCGCAAAGATCAACGTAGAATTGACTTTGCTTCCCAGACGCTTCTAGGAAGGGTCTCATCTGGATGAGACTCGGTGAGGCTGATTGTTTCTTTCTCTCGGCCAAACTTTTGTGCTTCACACTACTAATGTGTTGCGACACCAAAAACTTCTTGTCCGACGATATCTCCTTCTCGCATATTTTGCAGAGTAGAACCGTCCCGTCAGTTGAGAGCACGTCTCTCCCGAAAAATATCACGTAC